TATACAACCCATCTGAACTCAGACCCATCCAGCTCAACAGACAACACTGGAACTTAGAATTGAGTGTTCTCTAGTGAATTCTCAAGATAATCCTACCGCCAGGGAAAGCCAAGACATGGTTTGTGATCTCCTTCCATCCCATAGTTGATAGTGCTAAATGTGTCAGTCTTGGAGGACTGGTTTCATCAGGAATACCTACTATAAACACGCCAATGTATGTTGTGGTATTAATGCTTAAGGATTGCTGAAAATTGTTTAGCGTCAGTGTCGGTCTGTTGTTATATACCACTGGTGCGTAATGTTTATGTTTTGTATCATCTTTCTGAAAAGGCATGCTGTAATTAATACCTTGTACAGCTGTTATTTGTAACTATTTGTGATGGTTGTCAGTTTTGGGATCTCAAACTACTCCTTTTCTTCCACTCTTTCCATAGCCATTTCACCTCTCTCTCCCACCCACTCCTTCCTCCCCTACCTGTTCCCTACCTTTCCTCTTCTTTCTTTTGACCTGACTTGCTGTAAGATAGTCTACTGAGAGAAATATTTTTGGATTAAAGAGACAACCATTCACTAACCTATTCCATGTTGAAATTTTTCTCATTGCATGTCGCTTCGCATTGAATTTTTATCAATGTTAAGCCTAACAAAAATTTTTTTAAAATAATAATTGTGGCTATTGTATCATTAAAAATTATTTCTTTATTTTGCACAAACAAAATAAATATATTGAAAAATATAAAAACAAAAAAAAGGTATATTTTGGAAGTTAATCTAGTATCAAAAACATTCCAATTCAGCATGACACACATCCTCAGAAAAACACCACAAAAAACAAGCAAAACTCTTTCTTTTTTCTTGGGTTTATCTGGAGATGTCAGTTGGGCTATATTCTCCGATGAACTGAAGCAAAACACACCAGTCATGATGGGGGAAAAATGCCTTGTTCAAATACTGGCACATCCTCTCAACATGTGTCGTGCTGAATTGGAAGATTTTTGATACTAGATTAACTTCCAAAATATAATTTTTTTTGTTTTTATATTTTTTATTTATGTTGTTTGTGCAAAATAAAGAAATAATTTTTAACGATACAATATGGTCACGCCAGTGCTGCCAGCTAACACTCACACCAACAAAAAATAATATTGGAGTAGCCCAAGACATAGCCAAATATTGCAGTGCCACAGCACTAGCAAAAATTTGAATTTGCTGACTGGATCCCTTTCGGTTAACTGATGTTTTGGTTGATTAATATTTAGATAGTTGATGATCTACTGTATTTAAATACTTCTTAGAGAAACAAAATAATATACAAAAGAGATACAAAATATATTTTGTATAGTCATTTTGTCTCTGTTTATTATGTCTACATATATGTCCAAAAAATGATCATGTTAGGATACTTATCATTATCATTATTTTTTCTATTTAGCTATAAAGGTATGTACAGTGTATTATGATTGTCTATTAAAGAGATGCTTGAAAAATATTAAGAAATGTTTTAAATTATTTGATGCTATATTTTGTATAATTATGTTATTTTTTGAAAAATTTTGCATAAAATATTCTAAAATTGTATGTTGTAATATTATATATAACTTTTTTTATGAGGATAAGTTAAACAAATTTAAACTGTTTGTTTTCTTCCCATTAAAAGTATAACCAAAATTGATGTTGTATGTCACTCCAATCTTCTACTTAAGAAGGAGAAGAAACTATCACAACATTTGAAAGGACTGCACAATAGTCTGTCCATCACTACCATTCTGTGCCCACATTTGCCGCATTTTTAGACAACACGTATTACATATTCTGGTCACCCTATGTCCAAGTCTCAGAAGACTTCTATGCAATGATAGGGATGCCACTTCCATACTAGAGAAGTCGGGTGTATACTCTATCCCATTAGAAAACACAACATCTGGCATTCGCACCCACTACATAGGAGCGACAATTAGAATGTTGTCTTTGCTGCATCTCCAAACACCAACATTCCATCATGGTAGGTATGTGTGACACTGAATCAGCAAGGATGGTGTTACAACACCAACACACTGTGGGACCATGTGACGTTGCTCAGGTGTTGTGATCAGAGGAGCCTGGTGTATGTTTGGGAGGCTCTCCTCACCATACTATTAAATCCATGCAACTCCCCCACACTTGAGTTGCCTTCAATGTGGGTTAACTTATATAAAAGACTAAAACACCATCTCTAGCTTTGCTCTTTGTGCCTAATCTACTCATTATGGGGCATGCACGTTACCACCATGCACACTTTAATTTAAATTCTTTGTTTGTTTATTCTAATTACAGTTTTGTTCTAAAGGACTAAAGCTGTTAATTTTGGTTTGAAAAGTTTTTTCAAAAGGTTTATTTGTGTTTATATCTGCCTGAGGATGGCATCTTATAATATATCGAAAGCGCTAGTGAATAAAGCGGTATTTATATGTATTTAATGCCTTTTGTGATAGTTTCTTCTCTTTCTAAAGTAAAAGTATAACACTAGGATTTCTCATTTCCTGGTCTCTTGCTTGTCCCAGGATTTCAAGAAAAAAGTGAACTGTTTCCCAGGATTCCAGGAAATCTTGGGATATAATTAATTATTTTTAAGATATAAAATAAATCTTGAAATTGAATGATATAATTATTTTTCATTTTTAAAGTAATTTAATATNGATTTTTGATTGCCCGTGAAGCCTTAACTCCCTAAATTATATAACCTTGACCTTGACTTTGAAAATTGTTAATACAAAATTTTGGCAGTGCGCCTAGGGACCTTTTTGTTCTTTGAGCTCGGAGGCAGCAATGTAAGAGTAAGTGATTGTTTCAGTGAATCTAGTGACCAGATTGTCTAAAATATCCCAACAGTAATGATTGTGGTGAGGGATGCCAGGCCAGGTGTTTCTGAAAATGTGACGAAAGTACTGCCAGTTAGTGTGCGCATAGTGGAAACTATCAGTAGAAGTATTACTAGAAGTAAGAATGCTTATGAATATTACCTATGGTCACTGGCAAAGTCTATATCAGAAGTGTAATAGCATTCACCCCTAGGGGCAATGTGCTTGTTACCTAAAGTTAATTTAATCCAACTTCTCCTGTTGTACANAATCTGTGACATGCCATAACAAGCAAAAATTTAAAAATAAAATAAGCCAGCTTAAAATTAATAAATACTAATTTATTCTGACAGTTTATGAGTTAATTATACTTTCTATTTGCAAAATTTCCTCAACCTTAACACAAAATAAGAAAAAAGTGAACTGTTTCCCAGGATTCCAGGAAATCTTGGGATATAATTAATTATTTTTAAGATATAAAATAAATCTTGAAATCGAATGATATAATTATTTTTCATTTTTTAAGTAATTTAATATGTCCTGCAACCTCCAAAATAATAATAATAATAATACTGTGTAAAATATGTATTAAAAATTATCTTTGAATTATATAGCAATTTTAAAAACTAGAAAAAAGTTTATTAAAGTTTGTTGGAAAAAAGCATAAACAACAAAAACACATAAAAATGCCTTTGAATTGGGTTGAAAATTTAAGAAAAAAAAATGAACAAACTTAGATCAAACTTCTAATTTAGAAGGTTGTTTATGTTCTTTAAATAAAACACTATACAAAATATTATTGTAAATTTTTATAATAATATTTTAAAAAGCAAAGATGGTCAATACTCTAATCACTCAATCTGGTTCTTATTTTAGTAATGGAAAGTCCTGCTACCGAGAATACCTTTTCTGATTCAATTGATGTCGGTGGAATCATCTTTAATGCATTTAAGAGAAGACAGAGGTTATGTGATTTTTCAGATGTAGCCTCAAAGATTTCTAGTTTGTTTTTGAGATGAGTTGCAGTACTTTTGCTGTCTAGTATTCTTGATTCATCTACCTTGGCTGCTTTAATAGTGGCATCAAGCTTATAGCCTGGTAATTTGGCAGTTCGTTTGGTTGTAATAATCAGGTTTATGAAAAAAAGCATCATACCTGCATACGTCATACTCATTTTGTATTCTTGTCCAATTTGCACAACCTGGCATAATGCAGTTATTGAAGCTACTGGCCATGGATAAAAATTAAGACAGCATCAGTGCAATTATTCAAGATATTACAGGTTCTGAAAAGTTAAGAATTTTCAGAGTTCTGCCACAAATAGACTACATATTGATTATTAACAATCTGTGACATGCCATAACAAGCAAAAATTTAAAAATAAAATAAGCCAGCTTAAAATTAATAAATACTAATTTATTCTGACAGTTTATGAGTTATTTATACTTTCTATTTGCAAAATTTTCGCAACCAAAACACAAAATAAGAGAAAGTGAACTTTTAAGAAGTTTACGGGATTTCCTGGAATGAGAAAAATTTCCCAGGTTAAAAAATAGCCAAGATCGCGGGATCCTGTTAGAGAAACTCTATATAGCACTAACAAATTTGAAATCTATATCTCTCTAAGAATAATTAATGATGCATCTGGTCAAAAAATTTCAATAAAATATGACTCTTTGTTTGGCCACTAGAGCATTCCAAGGAAATGTATGCTACACAGCTATGAAAAAAATAGAGGTTGATTGTGATGAGCAGTTTGTAATGCTAAAATTTTACTTTCTTTCACTTGTGAAAACCATCTTATGCATACCATATCTACCATATAGTCCAGATTTGGTATCTTGGGATTTTTTCTTAATCTCAGCACTGAAGTTGAAGTTAAGGAACAAACCTATTTCCTGTCTACAGTAGCTATGGTCAAAGCATCAGAAATGATTCTGAAAACCTTCTTAATTAAAGAATGGGCTACTACATGTCTAAGGATTGGCAGAAATAAGAGTAAGAGTATACTGAATTCTAATGGAATACTTTAAAAAAGATCGCAGTCACTATGTCCCAGAATAGTTATCTTGTGATAAAAAAAATCACTCAATTTATTTTGACTCACCCTCATTAAAAGATGTTTTTATTATTAATATTTTACTAAATTACTATTAATTTCAGATCATTATGTTCTTACTCACCATCAAGAGCATTATATGCAGTTTTAAGGAAAATTAATAGTAAGAAGGGAGAAGAAAAACAGTTTATTGAGGTATGCACTGTTTTATTCTTTTATTATCATTATTATTATTATTATTATTATTATTATTATTGTTTTTGTAAGTTATACTCGGTTGTTTACCATGTTGGACCATGAGTCAAGGCATAGTAACCAAAACAGAACAGAAATTAAAAATGTGTGTCAGTGTATGTATGTCTGTATTCAGGAATTTCCTAACAATATGACATGTATTCAATATAGTAGTCTTTTGTAGTGTGATGTATGTGTTTCTATTTAATTGTAATGTTTCCAGGCTTTTGTGTTGTATGTGTGATATCACACCTGTACAGGAGAGAGCGACAGGTGCAATAAGCACCCTTTCCATCCTCCACAGATGCCTTATTTCTTGGGCAAGTTCTGTGTACTTGCTAATTTTTTCAGTGAATGTGTTTTGTATATTGTGAGTGTTTGGAATGGATATGTTTATAATGTATGTGATTTTATTGTGTTTGTCAATGAGTGTGATGTCTGGTCTGTTGTGGTAAATTGTTTTATCTGTGATTATGGCTCTATTGCAGTACATTTTGTGCGTGTTGTTTTCTAATACTGTCTGTGGAATGTATTTGTAGTATGGTTCGTTGATGTCTAATAATTTGTGTTTGTTTGCAAGCTCTTGGTGTATTATATTTGCTATTTGATTATGTCTATATAAACAATCTGTCTGTGCCAAGAGCTTGCAACCAGAAGTGATGTGTTGTATAGTTTCTGGCATGATGTGACATTTTCTGCATGTGCCATTTGTGAGTGTTGTATCTTTGAGTATGTGTTTTCTGTAGTTTTTAGTATTTATGACCTGATCCTGTATGGCAATCATGCATTACTATTATTATTAATTTTATTATTTTTTTTAAGAAGCCCATTTTTACAACAAATTAAATGTTTTAAGACAGAAGATTTCATCTTCAGATCCAGAGTCAAAATTTATAATTAAGAATTTCTGTTTTGAACAAAGTTTGAAGTAAAATAAAACAGAATTGCTAAATTATTTAAATTCTAAGACAAAACGACTTCCAACTACTTAACACTGCGTTGAATAACACTTGTAAAAATAGGTTTTGTGGATTGTTATTATTTAAATTCAAAATCCACAAATTTTTAACAAGTTTGACCATTATATAAAAAACTATTACAGAATAATGTTCATTCATATGTTGCATTGATTAGTAACAAAACTAGTGGAGCAGAAATATATTAGACTTTTGTCTTTTATAATTGAATATATTATACCCCAAATCCACAGATCTAACTTCCATCTTTTAATTGATAACATTGTCCAGAGTGGCCATAACAAGACATTTGGAAAGGGACAATTCTTGATCAAGCTAGAAGTATTTCTGCATTTTGCCAATAAGCTACTGCTTCTGCCAGTGTTTTTTTTTTTTTTTTTAATCTGATTTTGAGACTGTTATGAAGATTCTGAAGCATGAAAAACAATTTTTATTTCTTAACCACTGCCATATGAATAAGGTTAATACTTGATTGCTTTCTGTTTTCTCAATTGGTTGTATGTTCGTTGGAACCAAGCATAAAATTGCTATTGAGAACTTATCATACAGGAACACTTCTCTTGATGGAAATGGTAGATCTTTATTTTCTATTTTTTACAAAGGATATGCATTTTGGGCCATATGCCTTTCTTCAGTCCTTATTATGTATAATGGTAAAACTAAAAATATATAAGTAAATATCAAACTCAGCATTTTTAAACACTTAATGAAACATCAAACACTTTCTATCACTGAGAAATGTTTATTTAACAAAACTCTAACATTTTCAGCCTCGTAGAAGAAACTATCCTCAAGACCATGTGTTTCCGATCATTAGCTTTGCATGAATAAAAAATTGAAATATATAAAAGTAAATTAAAGGATGGTTGTATTAATGCCAGGGATGTGGATGGATTAGCTTCTGCATGGAAATTCTACATAAAAGAAAAATTAAAATATAAAAATTCTTAGTCCGTACCTGCCCTTATAGTTTGATGCATTTTTATGTATTTATTTTATTTTATTTATTTTATTATATTATTTATATTGTTGTTGCTTCAGTGTGTTTAGTATATTTTACTTTGTTTTAAATTTGAACGTATAATGTTCAGACATTCCATTGTTACAATTTTAAAATACATTCGAATTCAGTTACACCTGAAGATGGTCTATTCTATGAGGCTGAAAATGATAGTGTTTCATTAAATAATTGTTTTCATTAAATTTCTCAGCGATAGAAGGTGTTTGATGTTTCATTAAGTGTTTAAAAATATATAACTAATGGTGACTACTGGAATAACTCATTGTTAAAAATGTGAGTGGCCAGGGGTCAATCTCTTCTGACCACTTACTCAGCACAGATCAACTGAACCCACTCTCGATATTGTCAGATGGCTTTGTAAATTAGATTAAGTTCTTAGAATCTCAATCTTCATCAGGACTAACAACAGTTAAACTATTATTTTCAATTGCAGTTTAACTCACAATCTAAAATTTAAAGATAAAGGAGAGCTAATAATTCTATGAGTGGGAAGGACGGTGGGTAAGTGATAGGAGTCCAATCTTTAAAGAAAGGTTACCAATAGACAGATTAACACATAACAACTAAAAATTTAATGGAATGAATTCAAATGTACATGAGAATACATTGACATTGTATCTAACATAATTATATATCTATTCTATTCCTAACAGAAGTATATATATTCCCTAGCAGAGAGAAAGTTTACAAAATATATTATATTACCTCACTAATAACTTGACTTATAACAATTCTGTTGAAGTGTTGATCAAGATTATAGTGGAAGAGGTAATTTTCCCTTTGATCTCTAGACGGAAGTTCCTATCCCAAGGAGTATAGCGACAGCAACAGCACATTGTGACTCTGTGCACATTGTCCCAGGGAGACAATGTGCATAGAATTTGGAGCATATCCTTCTTTTATATCCCAACTCTCCTCCAATGGAGATTTGGATATTTAGTCACCTGACAATGATCTAAGTTTTAATAAACATGTAGTCGTTTTTTTCTTCACTACTAGGTGCATTAATAGACACAAGGCATTTTACATCATCTTTATTGTGAATCTTCTATAGGCCGATACGCTTTTCAGGCAAATAAAGGAAGACATGGTCTCAGAAATACAGAACATGTAGTCATCGGATGAATAACTACTTTTGAAGGAAGTAAACTTGAGGGAAAGGAAGTTGAATTTCCTTGCTTTCTCTTAACAGTTAGAAAAATGTACACTTCTGCAACAAAATAATATCTTGGTTTTGCACAAATTTTATAGAATAAATCAAGTTAATATGCAGAATTTCACAAAATATGGGATAAAACAAGTAAAACTGTAAAATAAAACTTAAAAATTTTTATTAAAATGTAAACAAAATTGACCAATAAAAAGAGTAAAAAATAAAAACTGTAAAATCAAAAAAAAAAAAAAAAACTGGTTAAAAGACAAGCAATTAATTTTAACAGTTTTAACAATTACAATATATACTCACATATAAGACAACCTCGCATATAGGACAAGATGTGACTTTAAAGATCAAAATAAAGAAAATTAGATTTATTAATACAGTTCTAATTTTTATTTGTTTAATCACAAGTAAAATATCAAATGAATGTACATGTTGTCTGACAAAAATTAGTGACATTTTAAACTTTAAACAAAAATCTTGTAAAATCAACAATGTAATTTTGTCAACATAAAGCTGGATGATTGGGAACCTTTTTATGCCAACTCTTAACAGTCGAATCCACTTTCCATTAATTACACTTATGAGTTTCTCTGAATTATGGTTTCTGATTAATCATCTGTTTTCATGTGGGAATGGATTAAAACTTATATCAGGCTTCCATGTGATTTTGGAATTTCAATCTGGAATTCAATGCAAATGCAAAAGCTTTGCTTTTCCTATTACTATTCATTTTTATTCCTGACAATATACAAGAACGATTCAAATGACCCAGATAAAATACTTATGTTTTTAAATACAAGAGAAGAGCATACAGTAAAAAATATGAATACACGGTTCACAAAAATTATTTGCAAAAATGCAAAGAATCTTTTGCTCGCACATATAGGATGATCTAGGAATTTGAAGCTGTGATAAATGTATAAAAACCTCATCTTATATGCAAGTAAGTATGGTAGTTATTCCAGTAGTCTCCATTAGTTATATAATACATAATAAGGACTGAAGAGGGACATTTAGCACAAAATGCATATTGTTTGTAAAAAAAAGAAAATAAAGATCCACCTTTTCCATCACAAGATGTGTTCCTGTATGACAAGTTCTCAATAGCTATTTTATGCTTGGTTCCAAGGAACATACAATCAATTAATAAGGTTGTTTTGCTGAGCCTTTGTAGAATAAAACTACCACTGGACTGCTTGATGATGAAAACTTTAATAGTTCAAAGATGCCTGAGATGATTGCCAATAAGAGAAAGAAAGTATACAAAATGTGGTAAATTTTCAAGTACAGTGATACCCCTAACTTACGCGATAGGTGGGATCGAGCGATAACCGCGTAAGTCGAATTCGCGTAAGTCTGGGTATAATTTCGCAATTTGTGTAAAATCCAAGTCGGATGTATGTAAGCTAATAAATGTTCTCGTTAATCTTATCTCGTCTTTTGATTCGTTCACAGTTACAAGAAATCACCACATAGAGTCTCTCGAGTCTCCGTAGATATAACAAAGACAAAAATAAATAACACAAAATAAATTGTAGCTATGTATGGATTCCATGTGACACGTCCGAACATGTAAGCTGAACAATAGTGTGGGGGGAGTGAGTAATCAAGAGTTGTGTGGCGCTCAAACAAAAGATGAATCGATGAGATTAGAAAATCGCGTAACTCCGGGTTCGCGTAAGTCAAGGTATTACTGTACTGGATTTAGAACTAAAAAAATGAAGAAATAATGGAATATTTCTGGTTACAGCAGATGGAACAAGCTATATAATGAAAAACAGACTGGTTAAGATCAAAACAG